TGAGTACTATGTATATGTATATATTTTTTTGTAGTTTTTTATTAGGTAATTATCACATGATGAATATATGATGTGCATAAAAGGAGTATAAACTTAAAAGTTAAAAATAGAAAATTAATCTATATTGTATAGATATAAATTTTACATAATACCTAATCTTAACAAAAGGGGGTTTTGTAATTATAAATTGGGGGTTTCTCTAATAATAAATTGGATCAAGTGATGGATAATGCCATCACTTGATCCATCACTTGATCAAGGAAGGAAAAAAAAAAAAAAAAAAAACACACATGGCCGAAGCTGTTTGTGACTCTATAGATCCGATCTGCTCTTTTTGAGCTTCTGCCACCTCCTCTGTGACTTTGTGGTTTCTGTTATAACAAATTAGGGTTTTGTAACTCGTATACAATATTTGTGACTTTGTGAGATTTTTATATTTTATAGAATAAAGGTATAACTTTGTAAGTTTGTATACTATACTTGGGCAAGGCCTTCATCTAGTAATCTTGTTGAATTTCACCATAGAACTAATTAACCAAATGAACGATTTTGCAGGCTTGGCCCAAACAACCAATAGTATAAAGGCCCGCCCAAACACCCAATTTTGGAGAATCGGTACCCCTGATTCTTCCAATTGAATGATTTTATTAAGATTTGGATCGATTTTGGATTTTGAATCGTACAATCATGCGATTCTATAACTCAAAATTGGAATTTTGACAACCATACTTAAATGGTAAGTGACAAAGAGATTAACCAAAGCTTACGTGGGATCCAATAATTTAAAACGACTTAAAAATTTAAATTTAAGAAAAGATACATAGGAAAGAATAGAAACGGAGAACCCCATGCCATTAAATGGCCATTTAATTAATGGTTATCCAAATATCATTTAATGCACGTCCCACGCACAGACCTGGACAATAGGAAGAATGATTTGATTAGGCAACTATTCGAGTAACGATTAGCACAGTCACGGCACCGCAGATCCTGGCAAAAGGAAGAATGATTTGATTTGGTAGTTATTGGAGTAACAGTTGACATAGTCATGGTAGAACTGTCCAGACAAGAATAATGTCTAGGAAAATCTCAATCGATATTACATACTCAGGTCCCTTAAATCTATAAATACCAACACTTTTGACCATAAGGGCATGACAAGGGTTATTTGGAGACTTTATAACTCCTCACTTCGTCTTTTTCTCTCTTACAATGCAAAAAATATTTTTCCCTTAACGTAAACCTGATGATATGTACACATATTAAAAGAGGTAGAGTCATTTGTTTAAAAGGTAAGTGACAAAGAGATTGACCAAAGCTTATGTCGGATGAAATAATAAAAAATGACTTAAAATTTTAAATTTAAGATAAGATACATAGGAAAGAATAGAAAAAGAGAATCCCATAAAATGACCATTTAATAAATGGTTATCCAAAAATTGTTTAATGCACGAGTCGCTCGCAGACCCTAATAAAACGATGAATGATTTGATTGGTTAGCTATTAGAGTAACGGTTGGCATAGTCTTGGCACTGTAAACCTGACATAAGGAAGAATGATTTGATTGGCCAACTATTGGAGTAACGGTTGACATAGTCATGATAGAGCTGTCCAACCAAGAATAATGTCCGGAAAAATCTTGAACGATAGTACTCAGGTCTTTGAAATCTATAAATACCGACACTTTTGACCATAAGGGCAAGACAAGGGTTATCTGGAAACTCCATAACTCATGAGTTCACTTTTTTATCTCTTACAATACACAAAACACTTTATCCTTAACGTAGACCCAATGATGCACTTTTTAAAAGATGTAAAGTCGTTTGTTTAAATGGTAAGTGACAAAAAGATTGTCCATAGCTTACGTAGGATGGAATAATTAAAAATGACTTAAAATTTAAATTAAAGAAAAGATTCATTGAAAAGAATAAAAAAAGAGAACCCCATTAAATGGTCATTTAATTAATGGTTATCTAAAAATCATTTAACGCATGAGTTGCAAACCCTGACAAAAAGAATAATGATTTGATTGGGCAGCTATTGAAATAACGATTGGTATAGTCAAGGCAGAGCTGTCCAGCCAGGAATAATTTCTTGGAAAATCTCAACCGATATTACTAAAGTCCTTGAAATCTATTAATATTAACATTTTTTACCTCAAAGGGAGGACAAAGGTTATCTAGAGACTCCATAACTTACGAGTTCATTTTTTTCTCTCTTAAAACAAAACATTTTTTCCTTCAACAAAACATAATTAAACAAAACAAAGAAACAACCTAACCCAATCAATACATTAATAATCCTTGACCCAACTTCAGATTTAGGATATGAAGCTAGGGCAACCAAAATCAAACCATAGTAGGGGAAGGAGAAGAACATCAATGATTGGAGGAGATAACAATGCTCGAAGGCTCACGACGCAACAATACTCCTAGAGTTTTTACAATCGGAAAATTTAATAGAAAGAAGCCATCCCATGATGTTGTTGAAGATCAATTTATGAACTCCATCAACCAAATTCTACTTCCCACTGAAGATGCGATTATTATTTTTCCTTCCACAAGAAGTAGATATAGCTGTTGAAATATATCAGATTTAGAGTTCGGGCTATGTAATGAGGTGATCCAAGTTGCAATTGACTGGAAATTCAAGTCGCCATGGTAAATGCCATATATGTGCTAGAAGAAACCCTAATTTCTAGCGGAGAAGGCAACTAAAGAAGAGATGCACGTGGGATTCGCTACCGTTGGACAAGAGCATGCAAGCAGTTGAGGTATTCGAGGAACCCAAACTTTTGTTGTTTGTTGTCTTGAGTCTATAATTGAGGGCCAACAAAGAAATAAACGACTGTCATGGAATGTGGTTGGTGAACCAGACAATATGCGGCCAAAATGGAAGGGAGGAAAGACAACATGATAATTTATACCCTTAAACTTAAAAGGACAACATGGTAATTTTAAAAGCAAACAATGCATTAATTACATATCTCCTTAAGAATTATAATATCAAAAAGTGGATAACTAATATAGGACGGAGGGACGGAGGAAGTAAAAGGTAAGTGACAAAGACACCGACCAAAGCTTATGTGGGATAAGTAATTAAAAACTTATAAATTTAAATTTAAGAATAGATGCACAAGATAAAGAGAATTCATGTAGTTGACCCATTCCTTTGGGATAAAAATGAGAATTCATGTGCGTGACCCATCTCTTTGGGATAAAGACAAAGATAATGACGGTGATTTAATAACAATAACAATAATAATAACAATTACAATAATAATAATAATAATAATAAGATAACTTTAAAAGAAACAGAGTTAATTTATATCTATATATGATTCGTGCACTCTGCAAATATTAAGAATTTTAACAAACTTTGTCATGCACAATTATTATTGGCATATGTATATTGCCGCAATCTTGAATAAGATAAATGCCTATGTTTTTGTCACTGATGCCTACTGATCAATTATAAAACTTAAAATTAATATTCTATATCAGCAAGAGGCCTTGTACAGTCATTTCTTGCTGGTCATAAATTCGATGGATAGCAAACAACTTAGGTTTTTTTTTTTTTTAGTTAAAAGGTAAGCTTCTATTCAGATAAAAAAGGAATGTACAGGGAGCCCTAAGAAGGGGGGAAAGAACTGAACAAAACACCAAACAAGAACTAACAATGACAGCAACAAAGGCAAACCAAAACAACATCCAAATGAGAATGAACAACTAGATAATCTTTTAAACAATTTCTAAATTGACTAGTCTTCCAAGAGAAACCATGAGTGACAGCCAGCAAAAGCACAGCCCTCCATGAACATGTTCTGCAGATCCTCCACTGAACCCTTTTGATTCATCTCAGCACCCTGCTTCAGAACCAGTGACGCTAATCTTGCTCTAAGGCAACTTTTGATGAGCTTAATGATATGTTGAGCACTGGAGACCTTGTTCCTAAAGGCCCTCGCATTCTTTTCAGACCAGATGAAGTAAACAACTTAGTTGAGTGAGCGTAGAATATATACTTAATTTTCCAATGCAAATATATTTCTCATTTTCAAGAAAGTATTTGGTATCCTGATATTTCGAGAATGTAATAGTCAAGTTAATGGTTAATTGTGGGCTTGTAGCATCACTTTTTATTATAATTGAAATATACTTTTCAAAAAAAAAAAAATAATGGTTAATTGTTATTTTTAATTATTAAGGTAAATAGTAAATATTCAATGACCGGGTACTACGTCTCCCTAGATATGCAATATTTTCCCCTTATTCCAATACTATCTCGTTAGGCCTCCAAGCATCATAATTTGTCCTATGCAAGTAATATGGTGCACAAAAACATTAAATCAATGTAATGAAATTGAAATCGGAAGAAAACTACTTGAAAATTTGAACTATATTCTTTTTTTTTTTTTTTTTTGGTTCCAATTTAATGACACAAATTCTATGCCTTTCAAAAGGAGGAGTTTATAAGTTGTGTTAATTAAGCTCAATAGATATCATAATTACCAAAAAAAATCTAAAATTATCTTATCTATTCTCTTCCAATCAAGCATTACCATCAATCATATCATCTATGAACACAAAATATAATCATTTATGCTTGCCTGTATAATACAAAATTTGCTCATGGTGCACCTATCCTCAAGATGCCTTAGCGTAATTATGCTAAAACTGCAACTAGCTAGTTTGCATTAATATGGTAAGGCCTTTCTGGCCTACCTTCCAAATTGAAGCCGAAGTCCATGACAATGTCCCCACCTAAAAGATGTATGTGTGTGTGTTTGTGTGTGAGAGAGAGAGAGTACTTAATTCAGTAGGAAAATACTAGTAAATGCAGGTGTAGAGTGATTGAGTACATTAATGGATATCGGACTATAGAGTAGTACTTCAACAGAGAAAGAAGTTCTACAAATATTATTTATTGACGGACATACAAGTGAAAAAAACTGCATTTTTATGGAAATTCATAGTCCATTGTTCACTGAACAACATGTAGGTTTTCCTCCATATAAGTTGCACTTAATTGTTATGAGAATTCAAGAGAAATGAATGCAATACTTGTACTATATATATATATATATATAATCGAACCACCCACAGTACTGCAAAACACAAAGACAAGTACATTTCTAGGGATCCCAGCTGCTTGAAGGAAGATTAGGGTTCAGAACAAAATGGCAGCATGATAATGGCGACAAGGTCGACGACGGTGATGAGGACGAAGATGATGATGATGGCAATGATGGCATGGTGGCATCAATGTACTCCGTTCGATTGGTTGGCATGTGTGAATCAAGTGGATGATAAGATCCAGACTGAAAACATGAGGGACTAATCATTGAGTGAACTTCATTTGAAACCAAAGAAGCCGGCATCATCATTGATGCATCATCATAGGGCGGTATCATCATCTTCGAGTTGAAAACTTTGTCTCCAGTATAAAATGGCGCGAAATCATGTCTGAACATGTGATCCTCTTGTTTAAGGACATGGTTTTGATCTAGGTAATGAGGTTGATGGCTTAATGACCATGTGGGATCATATGAAGTTGTGTCTAGGGGTAATGGGACCGGAGGCGGCATGGGAACAAAATTGGGATTGTAGAACTCCAATTGATCTAGCTTGATCAGGTGATCACCATGATCAAAGCTGCCTTGCAAAATTGATGGAGTTGGGATGGGCATGTAGATCTGATCTTGTAATTGAGAAGTAGTTGGGATCAAATTAGGGTTTGCATTAATTGGTGGGAAGAAAGGTTCAAAAGAGCCACTGGAGTTAGGTATGTCAGGAAAGGTGGTTAAATCAGAGAGACTATGAGAGAGGAGCTTCTTCTTGATGCTTGAATTCCAAAAGTTCTTGACTTCATTGTCTGTTCTTCCTGGTAGATGCTTAGCTATCTGAGCCCATCTGTACAAAGTAATTTTGGACTTTTGCATGAACACACACACATATATATACACACACACACACACACAAATAACAATATATATGTATACATATAATTATAATCACAATCATTGTATATAGATGATGAAATAGCACCTGTTGCCCAGAACTCTATGGAGTTCAATTATGAGAGCCGCTTCTTGGGGAGAGAAGCTCCCACGTTTTAGGTCAGGTCTGAGGTAATTTATCCATCTTAGTCTGCAGCTCTTTCCACATCTCTGCAGCCCTGCACAATGAGATACACCCAATATATATATATATATATATATATATATCAACTTACATGAAATTAATAGAAAAGTTAAAGATTAATTATATAAATAAACAGAGAGACACATAGATTAGTACTAGTCAAATTTATTGGCCAGATACCTTTCAAACTATATAAATATATATATGTGGCCAGATCCACTGTGAACTCTTAAAGAGAAGATAAACATAAATTAAATAGAGATGAAAAAACCAAGTGATAATCAATGAGAGAGAGAGAGAGATAGATGACTAGAAGTAAATGGTTATTAATAGATCAATTATTCCTGAAGAAGAAAGAAGCTAGCCATGAATATATACACACACACAAACACAGATACATATATACATGTTTATATGATGCACACACAGATATATATATATATATATATATATATATATATAATAGAGTTACCAGCTAGTCTTGGAACTGAGCTCCAGCAACCATGCCCATACTTTGAAATGTAGTCAATGAGTTTCTCATCTTCCTCTGGTGACCATAGGCCCCTCTTCACCTTTTGTTTGTTGCAGCATGTATGGTGTCCCATCTCTCTCTCTTTGTCTTTCTCTCTCTAAAAGCAGATGTGCAGCCAACAAGAGGAAGATGAGACTTGGTTTACTATGTACAATAATATATAAAGAAAAAAATTAAAAGAGTGGACAGAGAATGGAAGCTGCAGAGAGGAAGGGTTGTCAAAAAGCGAAGAAAGGTCTGTAATGGATGATATCAAACCGAGGGTACATACACAGCACTGGGAGTTATCAATTTAATGTGGAGGGCAGTACCCATGAGGGCCCCAATTAGGGTTTGTGGAAATTGTTGCAGTGCCCATCTGAAGGACCTGTATGCCTTATAATGGATTTTTCTCCAAGAGTTTAAATTCAGGGATTGGCTCACCTGTACACGTGTCACACATGCAGGATGGTGGGTCCTACTCTTTTGACATGTCCCCACCTAGGACATATCGGTCCACTCACCAAAGATAAATTGACAAGTGGGTAAAATGGTTTAGGCGTTTTGCTCTCTAGAGTGGGGGGAAAAAAATGCACTTCCTTTATAATAATAATAATAATAATAAATGCATTTGATTATTTGAAAGTAAATTTGGACCCAAAAAAAAATCCCCTCTTAAATTGAATTTTGAGTATTTATTATTTTATTTTTTTTCTAAACCTGATCTAAATTCAAGTTAGGAATAGCGTCAAACAACTAGAATTTGATCTAAATTTAGCAGACTCGAAGCAATTTCCCACTATTTTGTGTGATTGATGAAGTTCACCACTTCTAATAGTGAAATTTCACTGAAACAATGAAAAATTGTTACTATAGGAAATTTTAATTCGAATTTAACATGTATTATTTTCTTGGGTAAAATTAGTTGCAACTTAATAGCCTAATTTGAGTAGAATTAACATGTAGTGCAAAGAACTAAGCCTAACTATACCAACTAGAATAATGATTTTAAAGTTAAAAAATTTAAATTAAATGAAGAGCATAAGGTTTTTTCATGTGTTAGATAGATTTAAGTAGCTTTTACATCGAATCTAATTGAATTTATTTATTCAATATTTAAACTTTTTGGTATAAATATTATTTCTCTAAAATAATTAGCTCAATTAGAGGTCGGATTGAATTTCAGTTCTAGTTGAGATGCTTTTGTACCTCATTGATTTTTAGATTGATTCCCCCGCCCGGCCCACGGTGGCCCATCGTACCAGTTGCACTTTCAATGTGTGTATATATATATATATATATATGTAGGAGTGTTTACTGTAAAAGAACAGGATATTTCTCAAAGAAAATATTCATATGAATGATTATTTTATTGGGTAAAGTGCAAAAAAAATTTCATGACCTATGTTCATATTTTGCAAATAATCTCCTGAAGTATTTTTTTTGTACATAAAGTCCCTTAAATTATCACATTTAGTTGTAAAATGTTCTATTGCCGGACTATTTTTCATTAAATGAACATAGTATCATTTTTTATTGAATTACACTTGATTTATTTTTCTTGTTAAAATAAATTAAGAAAAAAATTCATATTAATTTAATGAAATATTCCCATTAAATTTGCATAATTTTGCCTTTAATTTTGAAGTTATAAATAAAAATTTTAATTAGAAAATTTGGAAATAAGTTAAGTAATTTCTTAATTTTGAATGAATATATTGTATAAAAAAGAAGAAATTTTTTATTTACATAATTTATTAATATTGCATAAAAAAGAAGAATTTTTTTATCTACGTAATTTATTAATATTGCATTAAAAAAAAAGATATTTTTTATTTACGTAATTTATTAATTTTGTATGAAAAAGAAAGTATTTCTTACACTAATTTTTATTTTTATTTTTAAAGTGAGTATAATAAGTTTTATTATAATAAGTTAATCATTTTAGAAAATGGTACCTACTAATCTATTTATTATTTTTTCAGTTTTTATGATAAATTGATAATAATTATAAAATTAAGGTAAATGGGATAATTAATTTTTGGATAAGAGAAAATATAATAAAAAATAATTTAATAAAAAATGACAATTTTAATAAATAAAAAGTAAAATAATCTTTTGTGATGAATTTGTCCTTAATTACAATAGATTAATAATTCAGAAAGACAATCTTTAATTTAGAAGAATTATTTACAAAAGGGCGGAATTTTTTACACTTTACCCTATTTTGTATCATATCACAAAAGCTATATAAGTATTTTGTTGATCTTTTGTGATATGATACAAAATAGGGTAAAGTGTAAAAAATTCCACCCTTTTTGTAGATAATTCTTCTGAATTAAAGAGATATATATATATATATATATATATGGCAAAGCATGTGTTGTTGTGGTCCACATTGTTATTCTCTTCTGCTGTGTGTATAAATTGATCTTTTATCTCCCAAATGATCTGTCAGTTTAACCATTGTGGTATGCCTATCATAGCATAATGTCTTTTCACTTAATTGCTTTGTTTTATTTAGTGCTAATTTGTTCTCTCTGCGTCCTATATGCAATCAAGTGCACGTACGGGAGGCCCACAATAAAAAATACTGTGTGTACATACACTCTTTCTGTCAAACCAAGCACACATTATTGACAACTGTATACATACATACTAATATAAACTGACGATGAAACAACAATTTACAAAACCTTTTATATCACGCCATGATATTTTTTTTTACAAACTTTTATTTTTATGAAAGCTACTAAATTTTTATGAGTTGTATCATTATTATATATTATTTGAAGGCGAAAAGATTATTACATTTTAAAATGGTTTGTTGGCTTAACAGAATTTACTAATTATATATATATATATAAAGCCTTTTTTTTTTTTTAAGTTATATAATTAATTGTTGTGTATTACGTAGTAGTATATTATTTGAAGGGAATGCAAAACTTTGCACTCGGCGCAGCCCACCTTTTTGTTCGTAAAGACCATAAAGTTATCTCAAGAAGATATTTCCTCCCACCCACCCGCCCACAGACACAAACTCGCGCACACGCTTGAAAATAACCATTTCATTTTTTTTTTAGTACTATCTAGAAATAGAGAAAGTCTACAACATCGGACCGAAAAACACGCTCCAAAATCTTAACGTGACGGAATCCCAAAACCAACGGGATAATCACAGACAATCAAACGAACAAGATGTACGTGCGAGGTTCAATCTAAATTTAGGAATACCAGCTCCTTGAAATTATTGTTATAATGTTAAAAACGCTTTTAATAATATAATTATTATAAAATTATTGTCTATATATATAATGCAATTATGCTTTTGATAACATATTGTATAAATTACTTTTTATACTTAAAACACTTTTAAATTTGTTTAGTAATAATATTACTTCAAGCACTTTTATTACTAATTTTACTATATTACCTTTACACTAAACATGTGCTAATTTCAGAATATTAAATATTATAAAATTCCATTAAGTTCAATAATTTATTTATTATTATTTTTAAATATTACATATTTTATTTATGATATCAAATTTGTATTGAGTACTAAAATATAATCGAGTTAAACATATTTGTATAGTGATTAATTTGTATCTGATTTGGAAGGCCGCTCTCAGAGTCCTAAAATAATTTAAAATCTTAGTTTGTTACAAAGTTCAGATATTGTTTGCTATTTGTTTGTAGCATGGACAAAATTGTATTTATAAAAAATATAAAGGGATTAAATTGTCTAAAAAAAATTAGTTATCTAAAAACATGAACCTCTACCGGTAATGCAATTTTAAAAGTTACGATTACTAACTTTACTTAAATGCGCTTCTTTGACGTAAACTCTACCACCTATAATTGCTTTTTATTATTTTTTTTTTTTCACCAAACACATTGCACCGTAATTTTTTTAAATGAAAGTGTTTTTTACCAAGTAGAGAAGCAATCTCAAACACCTACTACATTTAGAAGGACTACATCTAGAAGTTCATCAAACAAATTCCACTATGAAAGTACAAAGAATTACAGTAGAGAATTCCTGTCAAACTCTTAACTTGCTATCTCTTTTATGTAGACACAAAATCACTCAACAATTAAGGCACTCACAATTCTCACACAATTGTTCCTAAATTGTCTCTCGCAAAAACTTCACTCACTTTTGCACACAGTGTCTCTCACACCATCACAACCTAAAATCTGATTAGGGCTGGGTTGGTATATATAGTCATATACAAAGGAACACAACTTGCCTTACAATTTTAGCCTTTTGAATAGTCAAAACCGTAGTTGAAAACTAATTTTCACAAATTCCCAGCACAGATGAACTGGTTCAGAAAAACCTTGAATTAATTCAATTGGGGTAATCACGTTCAACTGTTTCAAGAAAAAGTTAAACAGGTTTAATTGGGATTATCATGTTCAATTGGTTCAAAAAAAAAAATTTTTTTTTTAAGGTGAATGGGTAAGCTTGTATAATAAAAGAAGTAATATGTACACTGTCCAAAATTGGACACAGCAAGCCTAGAGATCACAAGAGACCAAAGTCAACACACAATAAGAAACAAGGACTGGACATCCCAGCCACAACAAATAAGTAACATGTAAATGAACAAATGTCAAAGCATATCAAACAACAAGAAACCATGATTGCCCTTGAGAGAGAGAACAACCCTAAAAAAATAACTAATGCAAATCCTCCATAGTTGTAAATTCCTCATCTTAGCGCAACTCTTTAGTTTAATGGAAGCAAACTTGGCTCAGATATAACTTTTGATGAGACATATAGTGTGCAAAGCAGTAGCAGACTTGTTTCTAAAGGTTGTTGCATTCTTTTCTTACCAAATGAAGTATATTTCAGCAAAGAGTAGTAACTTGTGTGTGATAAAGTGGCTTTGAGCCCATGTAGAGGAGCACCAATCAATGATCTCAATTTAGTTACAACGCTTGATGTAGAAGCTAGTTGCATGCTGGATTGTAGCGACCTTGTGGGCTGGTGTGTGTGAGTGTGTGCAGGTGGCACCAGTAGGCTACCACACTGGGCGAGTTACAGGTGCACAATCCTACATCGCCTGGGTGTGGAAGAGGCTAGTGCTATATATAGATTCAACACCCTTTTTATGACACAACGCGTTTTAAAGCCGTAATGACTGTGAACCCACCAGAACTCCAGAGTTTAGCGTGCTTAACCTGGAGTAATACCAGGATGGGTGACCCCCTGGGAAGTTTCTGGTCCGGGGGAGCCAAAAGCGAACAATATTGTG